CACCAGGCTTAGCGGAGGGCGGAGACCGAGGGGGGAGCCATGTTTTGCTGGTCTGTATCCTTCTCACAGTCGCATTTCCCTTCCCACTTTGTCTCTGTGACAGCAGAGGTGGCCCCGCACAGCCTGCCGGGATTGTAGTTCTCTCCTGCGGAGGCTGTAGGTCAGAAGCAGGGGAATGTCTACATCTCCCAGCACACAGTGCACCCAGCCAGGCTGTAGGCACCTCTGATGGTTGATGCTCCCGGAGCTCTCCGCAGTGTATTGTGGTGGGGAGCCAGGGCTGAATGATGATCCTGGAGGACGGCACTGTCCAGGAGAGGAGGCCTGATACTCTCAGTCCTCACTGTATTCCACTGCTGTAGTAAGTGACATATCACTGATGTCCCTTCTTCCAAGGGGCGACGCTGCCCCCCTGAAAAGTGCTGCCCAAGGCAAATGCCTTGTTTGCCTCACGGCAAATACACCCCTGGGTCAATCATGGACAATGTAACATTTGGTTTGTACAGAAGCACAGCTGACCTGGTTGACCCCAGAGCATGAAAGAGTCCTTCCAATGAGTATGTAAAGCTTAGATTGAGGCAAACTGTAAACACTCCTGGGTAGCATTTTGAAAATAATGCTTTTTAGTTGTTACCCGAACTTCCTTTTTTTTTCAACATTATTTAAATTCTTTCCTTCAGTATTAGTCTGAGGCTTTCAGAACTGTCCACTATACTGGCCAAAAAAAACATCCCTGTTTCTTCTTCCTTTAAGGTCCAGGCGCCTTAAACCAGTTTGCAGTGGATGTCAAAGTAAATGAAATCACATTTGGCTTGAGGCGGCAAAGCGTTCAGACTCCCAACATAAGAGGTTGAAGAGAAAATGTATCTAGCTGGGATAATTTTCATACAGACACGACACAATATGAATCGCTCCATTAAAATACAAGGAAATAATGGCATAGAAGAGGAAAAGAAAGAACAGGAAAATCGTTCACATCGTTCTATAGCTGTGAAAATTAAAAAGATCTGTACAAACAAAATCCACTGTTTATGCACCAATTGGTTATATAACATAACGCCATTAGTTAGAGAACTCTGCCTTCTCCATGAACTCTCCTCCCCTGAAATCCTCCATCCTGCTGGATGACTCTTCTCATTCCACTAACTCTTCTTTCCTGAAATCCTTCTGCTGCTGGGAGACTCCACTCTCCCCACAAACTCTGCTCTTCTAAAAAACTGCACACTGCTGGATGACTCTTCTCATTCCACTAACTCTTGTATCCTGAAATCTTTCTGCTGTTGGGAGACTCCACTCTCCCCACTAACTCTGCTCTTCTAAAATACTGCACACTGCTGGATGAGTCTTCTCATTCCTCTCACTCTTCTTTCCTGAAATCCTTCTGCTGTTGGGAGACTCCACTCTCCCCACTAACTCTGCTCTTCTAAATTACTGCACACTGCTGGATGACTCTTCTCATTCCACTAACTTCTTTCCTCAAATCCTTCTGCTGCTGGGAGACTCCACTCTCCTCACTAACTCTGCTCTTCTAAATTACTGCACACTGCTGGATGACTCTTCTCATTCCACTAACTCTTCTTTCCTGAAATCCTTCTGCTGTTGGGAGACTCCACTCTCCCCACTAACTCTGCTCTTCTAAAATACTGCACACTGCTGGATGACTCTTCTCATTCCACTAACTCTTCTTTCCTGAAATCCTTCTGCTGTTGGGAGACTCCACTCCCCACTAACCCTGCTCTTCTAAAATACTGCACACTGCTGATGACTCTTCTCATTCCTAACTCTTCTTTCCCGAAATCCTTCTGCTGCTGGGAGACTCCACTCTCCCCACTAACCCTGCTCTTCTAAAATACTGCACACTGCTGGATGACTCTTCTCATTCCACTAACTCTTCTTTCCCGAAATCCTTCTGCTGTTGGGAGACTCCACTAACCCTGCTCTTCTAAAATACTGCACACTGCTGGATTACTCTTCTCATTCCACTAACTCTTCTTTCCTGAAATCCTTCTGCTGCTGGGAGACTCCACTCTCCCCACTAACTCTGCTCTTCTAAAATACTGCACACTGCTGGATGACTCTTCTCATTCCACTAACTCTTCTTTCCCGAAATCCTTCTGCTGCTGGGAGACTCCACTCTCCCCACTAACTCTGCTCTTCTAAAATACTGCACACTGCTGGATGACTCTGTATGAATCAGCAGTGACCGGCTGAATTTCGATCCAGGTATAGGAGCTCCTGTTCAACAGAAGTTGATCGTTACATTGACTTCTGTTGAATGGGGAAGGCCTACTGTTAGCATAAAAATTCTCAGTGGGGAGGATTTCTCAATCTACCTCGCTCATGTAGATGGAGGAATCTGTTCACTAATTTTGATCAGACCACTGGCTGAATGAAAAAACAATGAGTCCCCTACCTTAACTCTGCTCTCCTGAAATCCTTGTGCTGCTGGAGGACTCTACTCCCCTACTAACCCTCCTCTCCTGTAATGCTCAGTTAGAGGACTCTGCTTTTTTATTATCCAGATCTTCTTCCCTGAGAAAGTCTGTGGTTCTGGGAAAGCCCTGCATCTTTAAATGCCTAATCCCTATACTTAAATACTCTGTATGCTTGCTGCTCTTACTTTCCTGGCCATGTAAGCTGCATGCCTGGCTAAGGGTCTGGTATAGCAGGGACCCTACACTGTTTTTTTTCATCTATGTTTTTGTAAATGTTTCTTTCAATGTGTTAAATTATACTATTCTGCAAGATTACCTGCATCTTTAAGGCATCCCCCAGGCATCCTCTAGCCCACGGGTGTCAAACTGGTGGCCCTCCAGCTGTTGTGAAACTACAAGTCCCATGAGGCATTGCAAGATTGACATTTACAAGCATGACTTCCAAAGGCAGAGGAATGATGGGACTTGTAGTTTCGCAACAGCTGGAGGGCTGCCAGTTTGACACCCCTGCAGTGAGTCTAGCCCAGCAATGGGCAAACTACGGCCCGCGGGCCGTATACGGCCCGGCGGACCTTTTAATCCGGCCCGCGGAGCTAGGCTCCCCTCACAGTCCGCCCTGAAGACCGGTGTAGCATGAAAATCTGTCTCCTATGAGGATCTGTCCCCCTCGACGTATCTGCGCATGTGCCGGAGATCGCCGATCGGCTGCTAATGCCTGAAACTGGCACATGCGCAGATACGTCGAGGGGGACAGATCCTCATAGGAGACAGATTTTCATGCTACACCGGAACGGCGCGGGACACGGCGAGAGGAACGCGCGGAGCAAAGGTAAGTGAATTGACACAGGGGGGACTTAATATGGGGGATGAATTAATATGGGGAATGAATTACTATATGGGGGATGAATTACTATGGGGGATGAATTACTATGGGGGATGAATTACTATAGGGGGGATGAATTACTATGGGGGATGAATTACTATATGGGGGATGAATTACTATATGGGGGATGAATTACTATGGGGGATGAATTACTATATGGGGGATGAATTACTATATGGGGGATGAATTACTATATGGGGGATGAATTACTATATGGGGGATGAATTACTATGGGGGATGAATTACTATATGGGGGATGAATGAATTACTATATGGGGGATGAATTACTATGGGGGATGAATTACTATATGGGGGATGATTACTATATGGGGGATGAATTACTATATGGGGATGAATTACTATGGGGGATGAATTACTATATGGGGGATGAATTACTATATGGGGGATGAATTACTATGGGGGATGGGGGATGAATTACTATATGGGGGATGAATTACTATGGGTGATGAATTACTATGGGGGATGAATTACTATATGGGGATGAATTTTTATATGGGGGATGAATTACTATATGGGGATGAATTACTATGGGGGATGAATTACTATGGGGGATGAAATTATGGGGGATGAATTACTATGGGGGATGAATTACTATATGGGGGATTAATTACTATGCTTACTATGGGGGAATATTACTATACTTACTATGGATGACACATACACATAATTTATCTACTCTTGGTCCGGCCCCCGGGTCCAATATATGAACCCATTGCGGCCCTCAAGTCAAAAAGTTTGCCCACCCCTGGTCTAGCCCTTTAGGCTACATTAAAAGACTACCTCCCTGCTAAAATGATATTAATTAACCGCTTGCCCGCCACCCTATAGTAGAAGTACTGCTGCAGGGCTGCGCAAAATCACGTGTATATATATGATTTGCATTTCCGGGTTGGGAGAGCGCACCGCCCTACCCTGCGCTGTCATTGGCAGCTAGGAATGTCATGTCCTAGCCATAGATTTCCCCGCCAGCACCGGACGATCGTTGGGCAAAGCTGACAGGGGAGAGACCTGTGTGTAAACAACACAGGTCTCTCTCCTGCCAGCAAGGACAGAAATACAAAGCAGCATGTCTCCGTAGTAAAACACACATAGCACATAATGTAAAACAGCACACAATTAACCCTTTGATCACCCCAGATGTTAACCCCTTTCTGCTCAGTGTCATTAGGACAGTGTCAGTGCTTTTTATTAGCACTGATCACTGTATTAATGTCATTGGGATGTCAGTGGCAGTTAGTCAATTCCCCTCCTAGTGTCAGAATGCCCGCCGCAGTCCCACAGTCCCACTATAAGTTGCTGATTGCTGCCATTACTAGTATAAAAAGAAAATTTCCAGTATATATACCACCATTTGTAGACGCTATAATTTTCACTTAAACCAATTAATGTACATGTATTGGCATTTTCTTTTAGCAAAGACATGTAGCAGAATACATTTTGGCCTAAATCTATGATGAAATTTGATTTTTTAAATTTTTTTATAGCAAAAAGTCAAAAATATTGTTTTTTTTTTTAAAAATTGTTGGTCTTTTTTTGTTTATAGCACAAAAATAAAAACTGCAGAGGTGATCAAATACCACCAAAAGAAATCTCTATTTGTGGGAAAAAAGGACATAAATTTAATTTTATGTACAGCATCGCATGACCGCGCAATTATCAGTTAACCTCCCTGGCGGTATTCCCAAGTGTAGCTCGGGGTAAAGTTTCAGTACCACAAGCGGTAACCCCGAGCTACACTCGGGAATACCATGCGGCGCTGCGCCACGATTCCTCGATCACCCACCTTGTCCTGCGCTCCCGCGATGTTTCCCCCTGCAGTGTCCCCGGCAATGTAATCCGGCGGATGCCGGCATCTGTCATCTGGGTTCCGTCCCCTGTGAGCGTCGGGACGTACGGAGGACGGGACGGCGGGAAATTAAAAAATGACAAAAAGTGACATTCACTAAAATCACATAGTAAAACATTACTGTATCAAAGCATTTCACATACATTTTGTCCCGAGTGCTTTGTCCTGTGCCCTGCCTGCATTTTTACTGTTCTTTCTGCCTGGAAACTGAGAAAAGTCCATGGCGTCCAAAAAGTGTCCCTTTAGGTCAAAATCGGTTTTAGACCAACTAGAGAACAGCGATAGTAAATCAGAACCACTTGCAGAATTGAGTGATAATGATTCGTGGGGAAATTCGTCATCAGACACTGAAAACGATTTTGTGACTTTGCTCAGCAATGTGCGAACTTGGCGCTATATTTCAAATTTCAGTGTTTTTGGTTTGATTATATTATTGAATTAAATTTTTTACTATTATTTTATTACTATTTTTATGATTATTTATTCAATTGTAATTTATGATTTTGTGTTTCAAATTTTATCATACCCGGGATGTTTACTAGACTCTTGTTCGGACAGATTTCAGTGAGTTATTCCTAAAAATTACAGGCCTACAACAAAACAATACATATTTCCATGCAAAAAAATGTACCGCTTTCAGCACCAAAAATCTGAAATTATCATACCGCCAGGGAGGTTAAAGTAACGTAGCGCCGTATCACAAAAAATGGCCTGGTCAGGGAGGGGCTAAATCTTCTGGAGGGCAAATGGTTAAATAAAAAAACAACCAACGGATTACTTATTTCAGGTACTTATATAGCGCCATCAATTTACGCAGCACTTTACATATATATTATACATTCATATCAATCCCTAACCCTCAAAGGGCGTACAATCTAAGGTCCCTAACTTACATTCATACATACACATACTAGGGACAATTTAGACAGGAGCCAATTAACCTCTACCAGAATGTCTTTGGAGTGTAGGAAGAAACCGGAGTACCCAGAGAAAACCCATGCAGGCACAGGGAGAACATGCAAACTCCAGGCAGGTGGTGCCATGGCTGGGATTTGAACCAATGACCCTAGTACTGCCAGGTGGAAATTCTAACCATTTAGCCACTGTGCTGCCCTTGCAAAGTAGCCTTGAAAAAGGCCAAAAAAGAAAAAAAAGATTACAGAATGATTCTCCTGTAAATTTCAATAGGGGTTTGCAAAAAGTTCGAGGTTCATGACTTCCTGCTGGGTTTGCTGAGCCTCCAATGAACTGATCATTGCCTGGTTTGCTCATCTCTACTCTTGCAATACTCTGCTGTTGGAGGTCTCTGTTTGAATCACTTTATAATTCATGTACACTGAAGCTGATTAACTCACGTTCAGGAGCCTTTCTGCGTTTTTTTTTTCAGCAGCCCCTGAACTCTCCCTAATGTTTTCCTATGTGTCCATGTACACATCGTCGTTTACAGTTCTTTACAGGCAGTTGAGTTTACAGTCGTTTTTTTAACTCACCAAACTTGCGTTCAGGAGTAGATTTCATCAGCGTTTCAAATGCTTCAAATGCTTGTAAACGCGGCTAACTGCATTTATAAGCGTTTGCGTTTAGAAGCGTTTTTTAACTGTTCCATATCCAGATGCTTTCCAGAGCCTTTTTTTCATTGTCACAAATGCATGCAAAGTGTTTTCCATGTATTCAAATAGACCCGGTACACCAGCACAGTCAGTTCTAGGTTTTGCGTGAAGGAAAAAATGGTAGAACGTGCTGCATTATGCTCATGATGGGATCCATAGTGAATACAACCAGAAAAGACAGGTCATCTCAACACATACTGCTCTCTCTGCTTCTGCTCTCTCTATTTCTCTCAAAATGTCTGAAATAGTTAATTTTTTACTGGTTTTCAGTGCATTCTGGGCATTTTGGAAGGTCTCTTGAGGTTATATCTTAAAATTAAGATCCAGCCAAAAGGCTTCTAAACGTTTCTAAATGCAGTATTCAAACGCAGCTAAACAGGCGTTTTTTAACCTACGTTTTCCAGCAGTCAGTTTCCATCATTCAGAGGAGTTTTCCAAACATCCCGTGTACATGGAGCCTTAGTACCTGTTCACCCCAGTCCAGGCTTCTATGATGTTTTAAAGGAGCAAGCATTAACATGTGTTGCATTGAATGGGTTGAGCATTGCACCACAATGTACCACAAATCGTGCATGCAGCATTTTTGGCAACCTGTGCAGAGCAGGTGTGTTAAGATGCCATTCAGAATGCCAATCAGTACCGGGCACATTAATACATGGCAGTGGTGTGAATAGGCACTAAGTATGGAGTGTCTTTTTCTTCATAACCCACAGACAACGATATAATACATAAACCTTTTGGCTGGATCTTGATTTTCAGCAAGCCGTTTAAGAGGGAAGTTTAGCTTGTAATTTACTTTTCTGCCTCTATAGATACAGTTCTGTGCCTTTGTATCCTTATGTGCAAATCGATTCTTGGTTTGAGACTAATACATACTGCAACACTCAGTAAATTGCTGCAGGCAGGTCCCCGGAGCCTCATAATGGATTTTAAGAGAAGGGGAAAGTGAAAAGTCCTCTACAAGTGGGGATACGTAATGAAGACTGAAGTTCGGAGGCAGCCAGCTACGGAGGCCTGACTTACATGGGGATTAAAGGGTCACTCCACCCAAATCGAATATATTGAGTTTTTGGTAGGTGAGGGAACGTTTAAAAGCACATGGAAATCGTTATCGGGATCTCTAGATTACAGTTGCCCTATTTGCACAGAAGTGATGAAGTTGTCTCACTCTCCCTGCTGCATTTTTTTTTTCATGCTTGGAATTGGGAGCACCCCTGGTCCCATGGTGGGGTATTTTTCACCACTGTAGACCTCAAAAGATGGAAGGAGCAAACAGTTAGGCTCAGCAGTCATCACTTCTGATCACATTCTGCTGGAAGGACTCTTCAAATCAACCCTATCACTATAGGGTTGAAAGTAAAGAAAAGGCAGCCTGTAAAAGAAGATGAATATACATAGCTTTCACCAGCTGGTGTGTTAAAACTCCTCTGTGTTTCTGATCCTTGGCCGCCGTAGTTATCTACGGCGTGCTGTGGTTCCTCCTGCTGGCTCATACCTTACTACAGAAACAGGAACCAGATATTTTTCAAAAATTCCCTACTGTTCATCATTAGAAATCAGTCCCTGATCCCCAGTCAGTGACTTTGCCTTGGCTGAGATGATGCCATTAGTATGCTATAGGCAGAAGAAAGCAATTACTTTGTCTCCTTGATCAAACTGAACATTGTAGCTTTGTAGCAAGGTGACAGGCTGCTGCAAAGGGCTGATCTGTGTCAAACATTTGTGAACACACCCAAGGACTGCACAGAAACCAGGATTTTCATGACTGTATCATCTCTGAGCCAATATCTAAGTCCAGCAAGCAGATGCTAACCCTAGATCATACCAAAACTATGATGGCTCAGTCATTCTGGAGAGAAAAATCAAACAAAGGCATTGTCACTGGGAATACTGCAATCTTTGTAAGAAGTAATAAATACTCAGAAATGTTACACTTAAGCCAGCCATAGACGGACCGAAATTCAGGCGGTTCAGCAGGAATCAGCAAAATTTCGATCCATCTGTGGGCAGGCTGGTTGTAATGAAGGGGATTATCATTTTTTTTTTGTAATGAAGGGGATCTATCAGTTTTTTGCAATGAAGGGGATCTATCTTTTTTTTTTTTCAATTTTTTTATGATCACTGCTGGTGGCTATAACCTCCTGCTGTCAGAATACAATAGCGCAGCAGGAGGGATCCCCTCATCTACACGCACTGTGGTGCTGGGGGAATCAAGTGATTTTCTTTCCTTCAACCCGTAGTTGAAGGAAAGAAACTTCCATAATGTATGGCCAGCCTTGAACATTAATTGGCTTACGGCACATAACATGAAAAGATACAGTATATCTGAAGCTAGGCACACTGTAAAACATTTACTAAAAATTTAAAGTTTAAAGAAAACTGCACTGTTCTGTTTCTGTAATCCTAATTTACAGGGGTCTTGCAACAGAGATATCGGGAATATTAAATCACGTTTTCTGGTCTGGACATTATGTGTCTTGTTTGCCTCCTGCTGCATTGTTTCCATATGAAAAGTCCTTGCGGAGATGCACCTTGTGGTTTTCTGGCACTAAACTCCGCAGTTCCCGGCCAAAGAAAATAATTGACCCAGCTTTATTAGACTTTCCAGTCATGTAGATGAATACTCTGTATTTTGGAGACTTGTAAATTCAGAATTAATTTTTTATTTATTTTTCCGATGTTCGACGAGAACCACAGGATAATGTAAGACCTATACACTTCCATTACAGACAGCAACCAAAAGCAATCAGTGAGCTAATACTGTCTAGCTAACTCTGCAACTAAACGTTAGGTCACTGTAGAGGGGAACTAAAGTTCCGCTGTCACAAACTGCGAGCAGGCAGCTCTTTAGGCAGGCATGTCTCTTCTGCAATAAAATATACCTACGTGCCTGCTCGCAACGTTCTCTGGCATGGAAACTGAGCTGTGCATGTGCAGCTCAGTTTACATCACCAGCACAGTCCCTGTGTGCCAGGATGGCTGAATCCTGCACATGCGCAGGAGTGATGTCCCTGTGTGCCAGGATGGCTGACTCCTGCACATGCGCAGGAGTGATGTCCCCTGTGTGCCAGGATGGCTGACTACCGGCACAGTCCCTGTGTGCCAGGATGGCTGACTCCTGCACATGCGCAGGAGTGATGTCCCTGTGTGCCAGGATGGCTGACTCCTGCACATGCGCAGGAGTGATGTCCCTGTGTGCCAGGATGGCTGACTACCAGCACAGTCCCTGTGTGCCAGGATGGCTGACTCCTGCACATGCGCAGGAGTGATGTCCCTGTGTGCCAGGATGGCTGACTCCTGCACATGCGCAGGAGTGATGTCCCTGTGTGCCAGGATGGCTGACTCCCGGCACAGTCCCTGTGTGCCAGGATGGCTGACTCCTGCACATGCGCAGGAGTGATGTCCCTGTGTGCCAGACGGCTGACTCCTGACACAGTCCCTGTGTGCCATGGCTGACTCCTGCACGTGGCAGGAGTGATGTCCCTGTGTGCCAGGACGGCTGACTCCCGGCACAGTCCCTCTGTGCCAGGATGAC